GGGAAAGCAAATGGGAATCTGGAATACTCATCTATTACCGTAAGAATATAACGATTATTGGTATTTGAAGGCACTGGTCCTTTAAAGTCAATACTAAGGCGTTCGAAGGGAGATGTGGCTTTTATAAGCTTTGGAAAAAACCCCTCATTCTTAAAGTACCTCGGCTTGATTTTAGCACATACCCCACAGTCACGAGTCATAGTCTTGACTTCATTGAGAGAGAAAGGCAAATTCTTCGATTTTATCCAATGAAACATACGTGTTACCCCTGGATGACAAAGTGCATTGTGAAGTGACTTGAGTTTTGATGCACCTGCCGCCGTGGTAGTAGCACAAGAACAGATGCGCGATAAAGCATCCGCTGCTTGGTTGTCTTTTCCTGGTCGATACACAATGTCATATTTATAAGGTGCCAATTCAAGTCGCCATCTTTGTATTTTCTCATTTTTAATCTTGCTGGAATGCTTCGTGTTAAACATAAATGTTGCAGACTTTTGATCAGTAATAATTGTGAAAGGCTTTCCTATAAGAAAATGGCGCCACTTCTTTAGAGATTCAACAATAGCGTATGCTTCTTTCTCCACAGCAGAATGGTTCAGCTCACTAGAGTTAAGTGATCTTGAAAAGAAAGCAACGGGTCTGGAATCCTGACTCAAGGTAGCAGCAATTGAGTGTTCTGAAGCATCAGTTTCAACAACAAATGGCATATTTTCGTTGATAGCGTGAACAGATGACTTTGCAACTATAGATTTCAGATTTTCAAAACAAGATAAAGCATCTTCGTTCAACGGAAAATTGTTGACATGAGCTAATGTGTGGACCCTTTCGGAAAATTTGGGAATCCATTTTGAATAATGGGCAAACATACCTAATACCCTTCTGAGAGATGCAGTGTCGTTCGGTGGAGGCATTTTTAATAAGGGTTGTAGTCTGCTAGCATCGGGCTTTATGACATGGTTTGGTCCTATAGTATAACCAAGTAAGTTTATTACTGTTTGATTGAATTTGCTCTTGGTTTTGTTTAGTGTCAAGCCATATTTGTCTGTGGCCTTCAGAAAGTTCTCAAGATTTTTGTCATGTTCTACCTTCGTCTTACCACAAACAGTTATGTCATCAAGGTAGGCATATATACCTTCAAGGTTTTCTGTACGTATAAGCCAGTCGATTGTTCTTTGGAAACTGGCTACACCATTGGTAACACCAAACGGAATGCGACAAAATTGATACAGTTTCCCAGTGGCTTCAAAAGCTGTGTACATCTTTTCATGTGGAAGTATTGGAACCTGATGGTATGCACTTTGGAAATCTATTGCACTAAAGACAGTGAATTGTGATACATTGGACACCATTTCCTCGATATTTGGCAGTGGATAGGCATCAAGTTGAGTGAATCGATTAATTGTTTGAGAATAATCAATGACAAGTCGCTTCTTGTGAGTTTCGTTTTTGGTGATAAGCACCTGTGCTCTCCAAGGGGACTGACTTTCTTCAATAATTCCATCATTTAAAAGCTTCTTTATCTCATTTTTAATAAAAATCTGATCTTCAGCACTATACCTGCGCGATTTTACTGCGATAGGTTTACAATTTGAAGTCAGGTTACAAAATAAAGGAACTGCAGGTACTGAGGCTTCAACTACACTACATACCTTGAATACTTCTTTAGGTCCTCCAAATTCAAATTCTAGACTTGAGTGGTTAGATAGAACATCATGACCAATTATTATATCAGCACAGAGATTTTTAACTATAAGTAAATTAATGTTGTCGTATGAGTGGTCACCAATTGTAATATTTTGAGTAGTCACACCTTTAACTTCAGAGGTGTGTGATAATGAGGCCATAGAAACAGTCTGAGTACAAGGCTTCCTAGGGAGTTTGCACAGATTAGCAAAGTCTTCATTAATAAAACTGACAGAGCTACCAGTATCTATAAGAGCATCAGCACGAAGGCCTTTTATAGATGCAGGCACTATAGCTTTCTTCAATGAAGCAGGAGTAGCAGCAATAATGCAGGCTGTGCAGTTATCATAGCCTTCAAATATGTTGGCAGATGCACTAGTGCTCTTGGAGCGGCAAACTTTTGCAAAGTGTCCCTTTTTATTACAGGATTTGCAGATGGATTCTCGAGCAGGACAGTTCTTTCTTGAATGTATTGGCCCACCACAGAAAAAACATTTGTGTCCTGACCTAGAAGAGTTAGTAGAGTTGGTAGCAGCTGTCACAGTGACACATTCAGAATTTGTTGGAGAGCTCTGTGACTCAAATTGATAGGTACCAGGTAGAGCACTAAGTGTTGAATGTTGATTTGAATAAACCTGAGAGTTGAGTTCTGCCATTTCCATTGAAATAGCTATATTGTAAGTTTCTTCTAAAGTTAGTGTTAAACTCTCTAACAATCTCGATCGTATCTTTGTGGATGACATTCCAGCGATAAAAGCTCCACGGATTGTATCATTTTTATTAGTATCAGCATCTACAGCAGTAAAATTGCAGTCTTTTGCTAACTGTTTTAAAGATTGCATGTAAGAATCGATAGACTCATCTGTCTGTTGTCGTCTAGTGTTTAGTATGTGACGAGCATGAATAGTATTGTTTGGTTTGATGTATATTTTGTCAAGAGTTTGAATGGATTCGTTGTAAGTGTTACAATCGCTTATATATGTATAAACTCGTGGAGAAATATGATTTATTAATAGTTGTAGCTTAGTATCATTAATATCTAGGGGTGGTACAGCAGCACCATCAGCAGAAACAGCGGGAGTGACAATATGGGCAGCTAAAAAGTTCATAAAAGTTCTTTTCCAATGGTCCCATTCCTTTGCTGTTGATTTCACAGATGGATCCCCGTCGAACCTCTCGGGTCTTAGATACTTCTCCATTTATGTTGATTAAATTGAAATAATAAGCAAAACCTAGGATATAAGGTTTTAATCAACATAAAATTGTACACATAATATTAACAAAACAATAAAATTAGCATTGCAGTGACAGTGACTTCTGTCAAACACTGACAGCATAAAGTTGCCTACAATATTAGAAGTCTACAGCCAGGCAGTACCAAGGAGGTTAATATCACATCACTGCGATTAATACAACATCATCTGCAAACCTTAGGTGATTTAATCTTTCTCCATCTATATTGATGCCCATATCTTGCCATTGAGTACCCTTAAATATTGACTCTAGAGCTGTCGTGAACAATTTTGGTGAAATATTGTCTCCTTGTCTAACTCCTCGACCTAAGCTGAATTTTTCTGTGTCTTCGTGCAGTCGTATACTTGATGTAGCATTTTGATAGATGTTTTTGATTAGTTTCGTGTACCTGTAATCTATTCGGCTTTGATTTAGGGCCTCCAGTATTGTTTCAAACTCTACAGAATCAAAAGCCTTCTCGTAATCGACAAATGCAAGAACCAGTGGTATGTTGTACTCGATGCACTTTTCTATTAAGATCTTTATGGTATGCAAATGGTCATTTGTGCCATATCCTGCCCTGAAGCCTGCCTGTTCTTTGGGCTGATAGAAATCAAGTTTAGGTGTTAGCCTCTTTGTTAAGATTTTCATAAAGAGTTTGTACATATGTGTCAAGAGGCTGATTGGTCTATAATTTTCTAATTTAGTAATATCGCCTTTTTTGTGTAACAAAACTATTACTGCATTGTTCCAGTCTTTTGGAATCGTACCCGCATGTAAGCATTTAGTAAACAGTTCGCTTACTGATTTTAATAAAATTTCTCCACCTGCTTTTATTGCCTCGATAACGAGTCCATCATCACCAGGCGATCGATGGTTCTTCATTTCCTTTAAAGCTGCTCTTACTTCTGACACAGTAATGGGTAAAAGTATTTCCGATCCCTGATTTATGAGAGTCTTTACTCGTGTCGGGAAATTGTCTTGTGGTCTTTGGCTGGTATAGAGGTCTTTATAAAATTCTCTAGTTATTTTCAGAATGTTTTGTTTATCTGTTGTTGCCTTTCCGTCTTTATCTCTCAGCTTGTATATTTCTTTTTTACTTTGCGTAAGTTTTCTTTTCATTATATTTAAACCTTTGTTCTCTTCTACTGTTTGAGTAATTACATTAGTATTATATCTTCTTACATATTTTCTAATTTGCGCTGAAATTCTTGTTGTTCTTGTTGTATCATCTTCTGCTCAAATTTACACGATGTAAAGTAGATATCTTAGCCTGCACCTGACACGAAGAAGTTCTTAAATTAGCAACCTCTTCCCCCTTGATATCTCGACAATGTTGTTCTCTTTACTGCACTGTGTTGATGGTGTTTTTGCGCCTTTGTGAGAAGTGTTCTTCCTTTCCGCTGGAGACTCTCTATTTCCGTTCTTGACCACTTTATAATACCAAATGAGAAGCGAAACGCGTAACATTAAAGTTCACGCGAAATTAAGTTTATTTTGTTAAGATTATTATTTTATTATTGTTATTATATTATATTAATATCATTTTGCATTTTTGTCAGGAGATCCTTTCGGATTGTTCCGACGCCAATTCATCTTTAACCATGTTTTAGGTAGCTAGTGTCAATACAAACTAACTCAGGGGGACTCCTCCGAAGCACGGTGACGGTTCGGTATATTTTTAGAAGTGAAAATGTCATTGTCGGTGCAGAGAATCGAATTCATGCGTTCGGGATTAGAATGCCAGTATCTTGGCTTCTGAGCTGGGGCAGCTATAATCACTATCGATAACTATTGACAAATAAAGACCGGGACCAATCGTCACTGCGGTCGTACGAGGCGAGGAAAACTTGTTGCTAGATTTGACAAATTGTATCTCTTTTCTTGCAAATGGCTTGTCGCAAATGCCTTTTTGGCCAACCATTTGCTTTGGAAGTAGTTAGTTGTCAAGTTCAGTGGGACATCTCAAGAAAAATAATGAAATCACGCATTCAAATGTCGTCTGATGTCTATTAAATTAATCTTTAATAAAAGAAACTAATAATCATACATCATTTATTAAAATAAATATATAAAAGTCTTGTGCAAAATTTTTGTAAGAATAATATGACAACAATTTGTAAATCCATAAAATCTTTTTAAGTCTTTAAATATATGTATCAAATACTATTTAAAAAAACATTATATGTAGTATTTATTACGTTCCTATTTTCTTTCCAGGTACCATCGCAGGAATATCACTAAATTTCTTAGCATTCTGGTTACACCAATCGACGAAAGAATCACCCAAGGTTGCTGCACACATAATTAACATTTGGACATCTCCATCTGCTTGATGAGAATTGCTTGGAGCCTTTTTGGTGAGACGAGAAAACACGTCTCCAAGTTTATAACTAACACTAAAAATAAAAATATATATGTAAATTAGTTTACAAATTTATTAGTCAATAAATGATCTTATAAAGAGTATATAAATTATAGTTTTTTACATAAAATACAGTTGTTGTTATTATTTTTATTATTATTAAGGACAAGGCAAGACAAGAATTGTAATAAAATTAAAAGATAACTGGGCACTATCAGAGGCAGCAAAACATTTTAACATAAGCAGAACCACAGTTTTTCTATTAATAAAAAATGGAGGGATCAAGAAACTCTCGAAAGAAAGCGAGGGTCTGGAAGACCAAAACTACTAAATTTAGTTATGTCAAAATAAAATCAATATTTTGTAATATCTCCATCAGCATTAATAACGGCTTGCGGCTTGTAGTCTTCGGTCCATCTGCATGAAAGGAACTATGAAATTGTCTTCTTCAGAGAGCTCTTGCCAAACCTCTTGTATACTGAGCCACAGCTCTTCAGCTGTGGTATACAATTAGGCCGATACAACCGTTTTATAATAACCCCCCACACATTCTCGATTTTGTTTAAATCTGGACTGTAGCTGGGTCATGGTAAGGTTCCGATGTTGTTATTCTGAAGCTACTTCTTTATTATATTTGTAGTGTGAACAGGACAATTATCTTGTTGGAGAATAAAATTATTTTCTGGATAAAACTGTTCTACACTGGGAAACATAATGTTTTCTAGAATATTCAGATAAGTCTACCCAACAAACCTGCCATCAATACACCACACCATTCCCATTCCTCTAGATGAAATCCATCCCCACATATTGGCGCTAAAATGACCAACTGCTCGATATCTATCAATATATAGAGCAACGGTCGGCAACTGGCGACCGGACGGCGGAAGACCGAAAACTGAAATATTTTAATATTTTAATCACATACATTTTAAATATAATTACCTTCAACTTCCCAACAACCCTTGAACACAAGAAGAATTCTAAATCGGAAATAGACGTTTCAAATTTTTAGATTTCATTGGAGGTCTGAAAAAGGAATTAGCTAGAAGATTGGAACACTTTACAGACGTAGAAAAGTTATAGGGATTCTTAAAAACGCTTTTTGCAGTTCCTCCGCCATGAGAATGGAGTCATGTTGCTGCGAATTTGTTCTCCCTTTCAAAGCCCTTACTCCAAATGGAGATTATAAACTTGCAGGAAGATATATTGTTGCAAATGCATAAAACTACATCCGCCCATGAATTTTGGAGTAAACATGTTTCAGAGAAATATGAAAACTGCAAGAAATTGGCCTTTTACCTTGATACTATGTTTGGCTTCACATTTCTTTGTGAAACTTTGTTGTCAAAAATGAATTTTTTGAAGGAAGAACAAATATCGATCAATATTGACAGACGCCCACCTTGGTAACAGTATTCGCATTAGCTGCTGTCAGCGTGAACCTAATTTAAAAAACTGGCTCATGAACAGAAGTGGAATATACCACATTCATTTTGAAAATGTACGTCTATTTATTGTATTAAATACACAACATACTATGTTGTGAGTGAAAATGCATACGAGGGCTTTTAGCAGAACTTCGAGATTCGCTGATACTTAATTAATTTGATTTACTGGATGGAGGCGTGTATTGAAGTTTCGCCAATTTTTTTCCCTGGACATCCCCAAACCTATTTGAAAATAAGTCTGGACCCTACCCAAAATTAGTTGCCGACTCCTGAATAGAGGATTAATTTTATTATTATTTAGTCTATAAACCCCAATTTTGCCCTTTTTAGAAGATTGAAAAATTTTCTCAACTGTAAATATTCATCATCATCCTATATGCGTCCACTGCTGGACATAGGTCTCCCTCAGCTCTTTCCATCTGTCTGTGCGGCTTGTAATGTAAGTGCGGCTGTAAATATTACCCTGTCCGAAAAATCTTGATTTTGAAGCTAATGTTTTAAAGCAAATATAAGTCTTGATTGCTTCTGTTGTGGTGCAAGAACTTGTTTTTTTTTGCTGCAGTTCGGTACTCAAGACGCGATGCTTTAATTCTGCGTCAAGTTGTTGCCTTTCTTCTCGCAAACTGTGACATAATTCTTGCAGTTTCCGCATCTTCAAAATGATTCTCTTCTAATCTCTCCAAAAGAGTACGATCTTCATGAGCGGTAGATATTTTTGGTATTCCAGAACCTTGCTTTCTTTCGAGAGTTTCTTGTTCTCTTCATCTTTTATTAATACTAAAAACTGTTGTTCTTCTTCTTCTTCAGGTGCCATCTCCGCTACGGAGGTTGGCAATCATCATAGCTATCTTAATTTTTGAGGCAGTAGCTCTAAATAGTTGTTTTGATCTGCATCCAAACCATTCTCTCAGGTTCTTCAGCCATGAAATTCGTCTTCTTCCGATGCTTCTTCTGCCATCTATTTTTCCTTGCATTATGAGTCGCAGGATGCCATACTTATCGCCCCGCATCACATGTCCGAGATACTGTAGCTTTCTTTCTTTAATTGTAAGTTCAATTTCCTTCTCTTTGCCTATTCTTCTCAGTATTTCATTGTTTGTAACTCTATCTACCCAGGAAACCCTCATAATTCTTCTATAGGTCCACATCTCAAAGGCGTTAAGTCGTCTCATGGTATCTATATTTAACGTCCATGATTCCACTCCATAATATAGTACACTGTATACGTAACATTTTGTTAGGCGTACTTTAAGAGCTAATGTTAGATCTTTGCCACATAGGACCTTTTTCATTTTTATAAAATTAGAACGTGCTTTTTCGATTCTGACTTTGATTTCTGCCGTGTAGTCATTATTTTCTGTTATAAGTGTATCTAGGTAAGTGTACTTTTTTACTCTTTCGATCTGCTGGCCCTCTACTATCAAGATTTCGTTAGTATTATAGTTGTTTTTACAAATTTTCATAAACTTCGTCTTTTTGACATTAAGAGAGAGTCCGTACTCCCTACTACACATGACTATTTTGCTCATGAGTCTTTCCAGGTCTTGTAAACTATCGGCTATTATTACTGTATCATCTGCATATCTGATGTTGTTAATTAAGACTCCATTTACTCTTATGCCGACTGTTTCATCTTCCAGAGTTTCTCGAATTACCTCTTCAGAATAGGCGTTAAATAATAGAGGTGATAGAATGCAGCCTTGCCTGACTCCTCTCTTTATTTCCATTTCTTCAGATGTTTCTTTTTCGATTCTTACTATTGCTCGCTGATTGTAATAGAGGTGTGTTATTAGCCTTAAATCTCTTTCATCTAGGTTTTTATTTTTTAGAATTTCCAGGAGTCGATCATGTTTTACTTTATCAAACGCTTTATTGTAGTCTATAAAACAGACGTAAAGAGGACGGTTAACATCCAAACATCTCTGTGTCAGTACATTGAAGGAGAATAATGCCTCTCTGGTACCCATACCATTGCGGAACCCATATTGGGTGTCACTAATATCCAGCTTCAGTTTAGAGTGTATTCTGGCGTGGATAATTTTCAAGAGAATTTTCAAGGTATGTGACATTAAGCTTATGGTTCGATAGTCACTACACTCTTTGGCATTCACTTTCTTTGGCAAACACACAAATGCTGATGTCAACATTTCTCTAGGAATGATTCCCGTAGTATAGATAGCGTTGAACAGTTCTACTATTATGTCCAGGTTTTTCTCGTTGACCAACTTTAGTAGCTCGCTTGGTAATTCATCTGGACCAGCAGATTTATTGGTTTTCATTGAGTTTAATGCCTGACTAACCTCTGATTTGGTTATCTCTGGACCTACATCTCCTGTTTGGCTATCTACAGATGTACTAGCTTCTCTCTGGTCATGAAATAATTCTTCGATGTACTCTTTCCATCGTCGTAGTTTTTGTTCTGTTTCCAATATAATATTTCCATTTTTGTCGAGCAATATATTTGAGGTTCTTCTATTTCCTACTCCGGCTAGTTCTTTGACTTTTTTATGTAGGTTGAAGTTGTCATATCTGTTTTGAAGTTCTTCTATTTCTTTACATTTTTCAGAAAAGTAGGTCTCTTTAGCCTCCCTAATTTTTCTTCTTATTTGGTTTTGAAGCTGTTTATAGCGCGTCTTATTGATGGTTTTGTTTTTTCTCCTTTCATTCAACAACTCTAGAATTTCCTCTGTCATCCATTCTTCTTTCTTATATTTAGTTGTTGTAAGTAGTTTCTTACTTGGCTCCAATATAGAGGTTTTGAAGAATTGCCACTGCTGCTCTACGTTGCAGTTATTTCCTGGGTTTCTGTCTAGATTTGTGTTGATTTCGTGTTTCAGATTTTCTTTTGTTTCTTCTGACTTTAGTTTCTGTATGTTAAGTTTATTGTTATTGCGGCTTTTTTGTGTCTTTTTTAGTTGAAGTTGAAATCTAGCAATAAGAAGACTATGATCAGAAGATACGTCCGCTCCTGGATATGCCTTTACTGCCTGAATTGAGTTTCGATATGTGTTTTATTAGGAAGTAATCAATTTGATTTCTGACGATTTTGTTGTCTTTGTCAGCTGGCGATTTCCATGTATAAAGGCGTCGCTTAGGTAATTTAAAGAATGTATTTGCGGCTATAACATTGTGCTCCTGGCAAAATTCTATTAGGCGATCCCCTCTGTCGTTTCGTTCACCAAGCCCATATGGTCCTACATTAGGGTACCATTTTCCCTCGCCAATTTTTGCGTTGAAATCACCCATGATCACTGTTACGTCTCTAGATGCTGTGAGATGTAATGTTTTTTGAAGTTCGCTATAAAAGTTTTCTATTTCTTCTTCATTTTTGTTAGCAGTTGGTGTATAAATCTGAATTAAATTCATTTTTCCATGGGTTGTCAATAATTGCACCATTATAATTCTTTCAGATATCGGAACGAAGCCTGTTACTGATCTCGTTAGTTTTTCAGTGAGGATCATAGCAACTCCATATCTGTGTTGGGTGTCGCTGCTTCCAGAGTAATAAATTCGTCCATTGTCTGTATTGATTTCGCCAGAGCCGACCCATCTTGTATCGCTTATTCCTAATATATCGATCTCTAGTCGCATCATCTCTTGCTGTATATTTCTTAGTTTCCCAGGTTCATACATACTTCTTACATTCCATGTAGCTATTTTGTAAGTGGATTTGTATATATTTAGTGAACAGGGATTTCGCTGACTAACGGCCTGTTGTTCTCTAACTAACTAACTGTTGTTCTGCTTACGTTCAAATGGTTCGCTACGGCAGATAGCGACCAACCATCTTCTAATTTCGTTACAATTCTTGCTTTTAGTTCTTTGCTAACATGTGGAGCCATTTTTAAAGTTGCACAGAAAAAGTTATCTGACAAATTTTAAGATTTGGCAGTGACACTGACAATATGTAAATAATAAGTATTTTTTAGGTATTTTAATAAGTATCAGTTTTTTTAGGAACCAGTTGTACGGGTACCTTCTAATCGCACGAATTATATATTCTATGGCTTTCATTAAATGTTTTACACATTCTACACAGATGTAGTAATAATAAACTAATAATTCTTTAAAGTTTAATGGTAAAAGAAATAAGTAAGGGGGAAAAAATGAAAACAATGTTTGAAATTTCACTTATTTCTCGTGATATTTACATGGAATTTTGCAAGTGTTTTTTTTTAAGTAAAATCATATTCTGACCGAAAAATAATCATTTTTTACTTATACGTGTGTATTTCTACATCATAATTAGATAATGACAGTTTTTGTAATATATATTGCTTAATCTTTGGGTTTGTGGTTTAGAATAATTGTATAAAAATGGTTCTATCATGCAATACATTGGGTTATACTAGAAGAAATTCCCAGACAGAACATGTATTTCGGCGAATATCAAAGCCCACTAATTTAAACTCTGCCTACCATCTTCATTTTTATGAATTGAAATGATCCTATCATCCTATAAAAGAGGTGACTGTAGCGCAGTGGTTATGTTCCTGGCTTAACAAGTTAGAGAGTAAAGAAGGAAAAGTTTAACATTGTATTAGTATGAGATAAGAACTCTAAATTAAAGGATTGTATCCTTTTTTTTATATGCACGGATTTATTATTAAAAAAAATAATTGTTCCAAAAGTGAAGTATTTAGATTGAATTCAATGTTTATTCAAACAACACTCCATCACTCATTCTTGTGCTTCTGTTGAGGAATTTAGCTGGTTAGTAAGTTTTAAAAAAATGGTGGGTTACTGATTACCACAAAAGACACTTTCAAGGTTGTGGAAAACACATTAAAAGCCTTGTTCTTAGCAACAGCTTACTTCAAAAATGTTTTGAACTGGGGATTATTTAATAGAACTCTGTGGTTTTACATCATTTAGTTTTTTCCCGATAAGATATTCGGAAGTGTGAAAAATATTATGCATAGACTTACCCATAATCTAATTTTTTTCTGGATTCAACTATCTTTGGTTTTTTTGGATTAGGCGGAAGGCTAATACTTGTGATAAATTGTTCCTGGGGTGTAGTTTCATTCTTCATTTTTGATTCAACACTAAATAAAATTTTAATGATTATACTCTTTACCAAGTTAATGTTTTTATGAATCATTTATAAAAACCATAGTATGAATTAGTTGATTACAATGGTAACTTGATTTATTCATACAAAAGTACTAGAACAACTTTCTTTGTTTGAATGTCCTTCTTTCAAATGATACAGACATGGAGCATATTTTATATCAACAACAGTTCTACACTACATGATTTATGACAAGGAATAATTCCTAATTTCCAGTACTATTTTCTCTCACAAAATGTGATACTTCCTTATTAAAGCAGTAAAATCCTTCTAATATAATTTGGAATTCTTCTTTTTCATTCACATTTGATAGTAAACCAGTGGTTATACAATAAAACTAATTGTGTTGCTATCACTGTTATTTTAAACCACATAATCTGAATGTTCTCCTACAGGTTATTAATAGAGATTTATATTGTTTATCTGTTCAAATTCTTCTTTAAGTGCCTTGTCCTTGAAGAACATTGGAGACCAGTGTCACATGGTCTTTATCTTGTCCACAGCAGACCCTGTGGCGTGGTGTGGTGTTAATTCCATAGCAGTGGCGGAAGTTATTGAGCCAGTGTGGTCTTTGTTATCCACAAACATGTTTCTCTTCTATTTTTCCTGAATAATTACATGTGTAATGTACTCCAAATTTTCCCTTTTGAAAAGTGTTGCTTAAGTGATGCACCAAAGAGATGGCAAATTCTACAGAATTATAGTCTACACTACAGTAGGGCAGCTATGATAAAACTTACTGGTTCTATGTTGCACTCATACTAGAGCTCTAGGTATGTTAGAGATGAGATCAGCCAAAGCCCTGAGGACTTCAGTAATAGTTATTGGAAGATATACAATAAGCCAAATATCTGCAGTGTGACTGGTGTAGATAACCTCCAGGGAAAAAATTACTTTTCACCAGGGTAATGACTATTAATTTAAGACACAAAAATATGGTTAAAGCAAACTTACCTAAAATCTAAAATTTTTATGGATTCTCCAACAGTAGGTTTCTTTGGAATACCCAGAAGATTACGATTTGAGATAATTTGTTTCTGTGGTGTAGTTTCGTTCTTTATTTGAGATTCGGCACTAAATAAAAGTTTGTCACCTGCAATTGTTTCACAGGCTGTAACCAAAAGCTTATCATAATTAGCGGTAAACTCAACTGGTACTTTACTTTGCGTTGCATCAATTGTGTCTTCACCACTGGCTACTACCGAGCTAGATTCTCCTTTCTCTGCATTTTTGGTCTTTTCCTCTGCTGCATTTTCGTTTTTAATTTGTTGTTCACATTCAATTTCACGAAATGCTATCAAAGTATCAACACACAAAACATTGTCATCAAGAGCTTCCTTGGTTTTATCTACTTCTCGTTTAAGAAGAGGATAGTCAAAGTTAAGACCATTATGAGCTACTAAACATACTGGTTGTGGATTATGATTTAAGAAATTATTTATTGATGATACAGTTTCTTGTGAAAATACTTTTGTGTTTTCAAGAAGAAAATTTGAAAGACCTAAAAATCACTAGATATAAATAATGCATAAACAATGTAAATCAATAATTATTTTAAAAAACTCTATAATGAATCGAAAGAAAATAGCTATGACAAGGGTGTTAACATTTGCTGAAGCACTACATAGAATAAATAAAGATAAGCAGTTTGGTCCACTCTAAATCGGTTTACAGCTGATAGCAAAAATATATGACGTAAGGGTAGAAAAAAAAGAAAATGGAAACAACGAGAAAAATTATATACTGTAGATGTTCTGTAGATAATTATAGACCGTAGATAATTATAGGCTGTAGATAACACAATGAACAAACAATAGAAACAAAAAGTGGCATTAACAGATAGACACAATGTCAGAAAACAGATAAATACAATAGAACTCACATAAATAAGACAACATAGTATCAATAGAGGTTACAATCAATGCTAAAATGAAAAGTGCTACATTTCCCTGCCAAACAATTATCTCAAAGCAGTTCTGATAGCCCCTTCAGTGGTTGTTGAATCTGTGAGCTGAGCATGTAAAAGCTAAGTATGATCATAACAGAGAGAGGGGCAGGACTTAAATCTGGAGTTGGTCCCAGATCTTACTGCCATGCTTCCCTCTATATATACTATATAGGTAAGTAAATGACTGTTGAGGCAGTGCTTACAGATGTAAGAACTTGCCTTAATTGGATAAAATAGAATATAATAATGTAGGGTGTGACCATTTGTTGTTCTATTTTTAAATCTAGTCTGGACTGATATAATTTTTTTTTGACTCTAAGATCTAAATTATTATTTCCGTGTATAATTCTAATTATAAATATGTAATCTATAAATGATTTATAATGTCATGTTTTATAATTTTGAATATTCCTTAGGTCACATTTGTACGCAGTTGCTCTAGAATCAAGCAAAACAGAAATAAAGGTATCCTCATGAGGATAATATGCCATATGTATACTCAAAACATCAACTGCTTAAATTTCACCAAGAAGTCACATATTCTAGATAAAAGTGTACTTAAGTACTTAAGTATTTAGGGTACCACATCCTCAAACATATGAACCACTTAAATAGCTGTCAGGATAATCTATGATAAGGATACCTAAATACTAACTACACCACTACAAAATTAAAAATGTACCTGTAATTTTTTCAGCATCTGCAGAAATCAATTTGCAAGGATTGAAACATAAGTTTAATTTATTCTGTACACGTGGAAAAACTCCCAAACGAATATGTTCAGATTGTACTGCAGTTAGACAGAGTTCGGTTATTCTTGTTTTATTATTTTCATATAAAGGTAGACCTGTGGATTCAAGATCCAAAAATACAAATGTCTTAATTTCAGACACAGGTTCTCTCCAGGTACTCATTTGTATAAAATATTTGTTTCGGGCGTTTATTAAACTTTTTAAAATCATTCAAGTGAAAAATTGTTATATGTTTTTTATCTAATGACTACAAACCACTAATGATTCACAAGTGTATAAATTATATATAGAGATTCTTTATATAGATACCACAAGTATCTATATTTGCATAGCAATTAATTTAAATGCATATTAAGATTGTTTAATTAGTTTATAATTTGGGTTAAAATATTTGTTTGTATACGTCAAACAATCAGGTTAGGGAAAAACAATGTCAATGTCAACCTAAGTGATTCTTTTAATTGTTCTTTTAACATATTTTATGGCCTCTTTTGTAAAGTAAAGTAGGAACATCTGATTAGGTTTTTCCTTGTTTTATTTGCATGGTACTTAGGATCATTTAAAAAACGATTATATGTTGCACAATAAAAGATAAAATATTAATACTTCTAATTTCATACACATTGAGGCAGCTACAATACTTAATACAGTTTAATATACCGCTTTTTATTTTTAGTGTAAACATTTAATTTACAAAGAAAATATTAAGTTGATTCAGATAAATGTATTTGAAGTACTAATAAAATAAAAATATAGTTTAATTATTTATCCACGTGTTCTGTTGTTTAAATATTATAATGCTGTGTATTTTTCAGTTTAAAGAACGCTACCGGAAATACTTAAAAAGTGTAGCCAACTCAAAAAATTTTTAGAATAATCAATAATTTTTAAAGTAAAGTATAATTCAAGCTTTTAAACATTTATATTTGTAAAACAATTTATTGACACCCGATGCTATTAAGAATTTTTTTATACAGAACTATTACTTGTTAGTATAAATTATTGATCTGACCATATCCCAAAAATTTAAATTTTAAGTTGTTCACCTGTTTGAAGCGTCATCGCCCAATCGGATCTTCGACCTTCGTCCTCTTTCTTTCAATTGACTCATTTGTAAAATTTGCTGCGCGGACTGTAATTTCCAAGAAGTTGCAACCCATTAATTGGTTATAAAGTTAGTGCAGTTTGCAGTAATTTTTATTTTCCAGAGTATTTCTTGAATATCGTATGTCCATCCAGAATCTAAACACATTCGGTAAGTTACTTTTAAATCAAAGAAGTGTACATCTTAAACATTAGACAATTTCCTAAAGACAAAATGGCGACTAATTTTAGGGATGACACATTTTTCTTGGTAGTTGTTGATTACACCCTGTTTGCTTGAGTTAATGTTAATACTGAAACGTTTATCCAATAAACCATTCAGTCACTACAATGTTAACCTTTTGGCAAAGATTTTGGTTAACATAATATAAAAATTTGGCAATTTAAACTATTCATGTAAGGGTGGATGATACATTGCTAAGGGGTGTTAATGAAAATTGTGTTTTTCAGACCCATTTGCTGATGCAAGTAAGGGTGCAGATGATGATGTTCAAGACGGACTTGTCCACATAAGAATACAACAACGTAATGGTCGCAAAACTCTGACTACTGTCCAAGGACTCTCTAAAGAATATGACCTGAAGAAAATTGTTCGGGCATGTAAAAAGGTAAATTTCATAAACCAAACTGTTTATTTTTTATAACTGAGATTGTTTATTGTTTTCTCTCGATGTGTTTTGTATTTCCAGAGTGGGTAGCTATAAAATATTTCAGAGGTTTGATATTTTTTGTGTACCTGATTAGTAGATTGATAATGCAGCATTAAGTCTGCTTTTTATTCTTTGTAGATGTATTAAAGATTACAATGCAATAATCATAATATGAGATTGATTTTTTGCTTAGGTGGAACTTACTGAAATTTTAAAATTGAAATTGATTTAATTACTATTCAAAGTTCTGAGATAATTAGCTCCTATGTTCCTTGTTTTTAATAGTCATAGGTGTTTTAAAAGTACATGCTAGGTGACCATGAATTTTATAATATTAGTGTTGGTGTGTGGTATTAGTCATCGAATTATGCATTGTGATATTGATTTATAAGGTAATAATAAGGTATAAGGAAATTATAAGGCAATATAAGGTGTATGACCAACTTTTAATCTTTTAATAATACATTAATTATGTCTGGGTCATGAGTGTGACCTACTGACCTAAATAGTTTAGTTAAATACCTAAATAAGTTAAGTACATTTTGGACCTATCTAAGCCTTTCGATAGCCTAGATCATGTTCTTTTATTACAAAAATTACATCTTTATGGAATACACAACTGGCATTAAAATGGATAAAATCATTTCTCACAGATAGGTCGCAAAAGGTATGTCTGGAGAAAAGGGGATGTAAGGTTTACTCTGAACCTATCAATTTAAAATTAGGTATACCACAGGGGAGTGTCCTGGAACCTTTTCTCTTTTCAGTCTACATAAATGACCTTCCAAATGCAGTGGTTAGTAGTTCCTCACACCTTGTAAATTTAGCTGATAACTCAAATGTGGTTTTCTGAGAAATAACTTTAGACACACTCCTCACAGTGGCAGAGCAAATTCTAAGCAAGGCCGAACAGCGGTTCAGTGGAAATCGGTTGTTGCTAAATACTGATAACCTGCAAAAGAAAGTAGAAATCAGAAATGCAAAAAAGTTTGCTGATCTTAAGATTTGTGGAATTTTGATTTTTCAACTTACAGACTGATGTAGTTTTAAAAGAACAATTAAAGCAATTTTTTTTGTTACTTTGGAAACAAAATTCTTTTTATTAATTTTTTTTTTTTAATAATAACAAATAATCTGTACTCTATATTCAATTATTACAGTAAAATTATATTGTTAGTAATTACATTGTCAGTATTGAGGTAGTTCTATAAAAAAATCCGGATAGTATTGTGAGTTACGAGCATAGGCGCAAAATTTCAGGCCCATGCTTTTTAAATGCATCCATTTTATTTTTTGAAATGCATCCATTTTTTTTTAATCCTGAAAAAACTAATAAGTACTTTTAAAAAATTTAAATGCAGAATGAAAGATTACATTGTTACCGAGGGTGAAAGTCCATTAGAATAAACAAAAGGTTTCTTTTAAATGAGATATGAGAAATTAAAGATTATACTTAATTTTCTCTTCTTTTTCACCCCTGTCTCTACTAAAATAAACATTATAGAAATTTTCAGGGACTTTCGGCCCTCGGTAATAATGTCATCTTTCATTCTGCATTTAAATTTCTTTAAAATACTTTAGTTTTCGCAGGATTAAAAATGCATTTAAAAATCATTTGTCCAAAATTTTGCACCTACACCCTTAACTGGTTTTTCATCATTATTTACAATAGAATTTAACATTACAACTCATCCAGAAGCTTAAAAATTCTCTGTTCAATGAATCATATATGATTCAAGTATATATGTTATTTTATTTTAATATTGAAAGTATTTTTGGGTGTGGTAGAGGCCAGATATATGTTACCATTGGGACAGTGAAGTTTTTTAGGTAAATGACAGACCCCAGACCAGTTGGAAATACCTTTCTTTAAATTTGTTGGGCCTAGATTAACTTAGATTTTATATTAAAACTGTAAATGTTTAAAAAAAAAAAGAAGTTAGGTTAATGATTTTATCAGGTGCTTATGATATTATACTTGTTATTTATTTATATATATTTGTTTTTCGTTATTTGTAACTTTATGAATATGACTGACGACGAAGGAATTAGTGATTTTGCTGATTATTATAGTAGTGAGGGTGATTTGGAGCTATTAGCCGAATCTAGGGTGAAAACTCAGAATTATTTAGATAGATAGTCACCAAATTATGTCAGTTGTCAGGAAATCGTTCCAACATCAGTTTCCACATTACCGTCATCAGACGATACAAATAATGAACATGCGCATTAAAAACGGTACAAGTAGTTTCGTGTCGGTTTCCGGACCGTACAAAAATTGCGTGTTGGAACAAACCTAGAAAAATCATCTTCAGTGATAAGGTCCATTTTTAGATGCATGATACATCAAAAAACAGAATTATGGAATTTGGGATGATACCATCTAGATGAGTTCCAAGATTGTTCAATACATCCCGAAAAAGTCCCTATTTGGTATGGATTGTGGGCTGGCAGCATCATTATCATCGTTGGTCCATATTTCTTTAAAACAACTTTGACTATTGACCATTGGCCAGACTGTCAATGGCAGTTGGTATAGGTCAATGATTACCAACTTATTTTGCCCTGAATTGGATGATCTGGATACTGATTACATATAGTTTCTACTATATGGCACCACATGCCAATTGGACACATGAACAATTTGAGGCTCTGTCATCTCATTTAGTGATGATGTAATACAACTATGAAGATCAAGTGATTAGGCCACTTCAGGTTCTTTTTTGAGTGGTTTTCTAGTCACAGTCTATGAGAAAAGAATACAAACCACAGCAGATAATAAAAAAACAAGCAGAAATTAAAAAAAATAATAGTGGAGAACCAAAACTTAATTCCATCAATATGTTTGTTCCTATCAAACAGTTTAAATAATTGAACTTTCCAGTTTGGTTTTTATAAGAATTAATTGAGCTTGTTATACAGAAAAAAAATAGCTCACAGGAATTTTAAAGCATCAGGCAGGCAACTCATATGAGAAATTTTCAGTTTTAAGTGATGCAAGCCATTACAAGCAGTATGTTATAAGAACTATTAAGAGAATATTCAAGCAAATCTATCAAGTAATCCCCAGTCTTTTTGGAGGAATTTTAGTGCTACACATGGGTCTAGTGCTTCTGCATCTGGCTTTTTATTGACCTCATTGTTAATTGGATTAAAACTTTTCTGATGGGGGCATACACAGCAAAGTTCTTATTAACAATTATATTTCAAAAGAATTACATTGTTGTTCTGGTGTCCCACAAGAGTCTCATTGTGTCCCTTGTTTTTTAAGTTGTTCATTAACAATATTTATAAGGCTATCAAAAACTTTCTGCTATTTGCTGATGATCTTAAGTTATTACATGGTATACATGATAAATCTGATAGAGATCTCTTGTAAAATTATGTAAATAATATATGTTTGTTTGAAACAAAATGGTTTAAGCTTAAGTTCCAACTAAATGTTCTTGTCTTTCATTTAGTCATATAAATAATCTAGTAGTTAATAGTTTTAGGTGTATAATTGGATTGTGTATTAACATTTAGAATTTAGAAGGAAATCGGATTTCATAATCTTGGTTTTATTTATTGTGAAAGTCATGATCTCTCACTTATTACTTACTTACTTACTCCGTGGCGTTACAACCCTTCGTGGGTTTTAGCCGACTCGACAACATGCCTCCACTGTTTTCTGTCTTGAGCAACCCCTATCCAATTCTCCACGCCCATAGTGCTTAGGTCTCCTGCTATATTATCTCGCCACCGGAGACGCGGGCGTCCGCGTGGTCTTCCAGTTGGGACTTCCTCCCACACCAGTCTTACTGTTCGTTCATCAGAATGTCTTCTGAGGTGTCCTGCCCATTGGAGTCTTCTGGACTTTATTTCTTTTATGATGTTGGCGTCTGGGTAAAGTTCTTCAAGCTCTTTATTAGTTCTTATCCTATATTGTCCTGATGCTTCATCAAGCACCGGACCAAAGATCTTCCTTAGGATTTTTCTTTCCCAAACACCTAGTCTCTCTTCATTTGCCTTTATCGTCCACAATTGTTAACAATCGTATGATTGTTTTATAGACCTGTATCTTCGTATGTTGTGTTAGTTGTTTTGATTTTATAAGGTTTTGGAGGGCAAAAATACATCTGTTGCCGGCCTGAATCCTGTTGTTTATTTCTTGTGATCCGTTATTGTCTTCAGTTATTGTTGTTCCAAGATACTTGAATTCTCTAACGCGCTCAAAGTTAAAGTCATTGATGGTAATGTTCTGACTGATTCTGTCTCTGCTTTGGTTATTGAGGCTCATATACATATATCTCGTCTTGTTTTCGTTGATTTGGAGCCCCATCTTCTCTGCTTTCTTCTCAAACCTTACGAAAGTCTTCTTCATCCTTAATCGCGTGTTTCCTATTAGATCTATATCGTCTGCAAATGCCAGTAGTAAGTTTGGTCCTTCTCGATGAAATACTGTATTCGGTTTTTCGATTCTTGCACTTCTGATTATGTGCTCCAGAGCTAAGTTGAAGAGTTATGGTGAAAGTGCATCTCCCTGTTTTAGTCCATTGTTTATTTCAAATGTCTCCGAGTATTGTTGTCCAACTCTCACCTTACATTGTAACCGTTCCATACACATCCGTATCAACCGGACTAGTTTTTTTGGAAAGCAAAGTTCCTGCATCGCTGTCCACAGTCTGTCCCTACATACTCTATCAAATGCTTGTTTAAAATCTATTAACATCTGATGAAGCTCACGATCAAACTCAAAGCATTTTTCCATTATCTGGTTTATTGTGATTATCTCTCACTTATTGAGATAATATCCATTATCTCTCACTTATTGTATTCAAATTATTGTACTGCTCTCTGGTATGCTCAGGTCCTGAATACTGTTCTGTTGTTTGGTCCCCATTTCATTAAGTCTACATTGATGGATTGGAGAACATTCAGCTAAAGTTTCCAAGATATTTAGCTTTTAAAGCACATATTAATGTGAGAAATACTGAAAAGTGCTCCAAAGATTATTCTGTAATAATGTGCCAATTTAAGATTGCTACACAGGTTGAGAGCTGATACGTTATTTTTGTTTAAAATTCTCAACAATGTTCCCTGTTATTAGCCAATGTGTACTTAAACACAATACATAAAACTCGACACACTGTACTCTTTTATGATCCTTTTCATAGGACTGATTATGCTCGTCATTACTTATTGAGGATGCTCAACTCTTGCAATGACCTGCTACTGACTCACATATTATTATGTATTCCAAAACTTAGTGTGGATGTGTCAGAAAACACAAAACAAGTATTGGAAATTTTCTAAAGAAAAATTCTATGAAACATCTTTAGACTGATGGAACCAAAATAAAATATGGAGATCTAGATATAGCAATGAATTTTACCAATTGTTCAAAAAAATCTCCAGAATTTATTATACTCCAGGTACTTTGATCGGCTGGTTATGTATTTGGGATGAATGATGATATATTGCTAAAAAGAGTCCTAGATTAATAGAGGGGCAAAAAATTAAAATAGGGACAATATAGGAAGTAAAAGGGGCAGTGTAATCAACTAGTTTTTCAGTGTACCTTGTCTCATTGGCTTTTATCTTAAGTCATTATAAGTTAATTTATGTATGAAAGTTGATAAACCACATTCATTTTACATATTCCCAATTATCAACATACGCATGTGAAAGCCAAACAGGGTCGTACTGATGTGTATCCTATGATTCTTAAAAATATTTACTTTTGAAACTATTAGTGTAAGAATTTTTTGATATTTAATCATTAAATCATAATTAAACAATAACTGTAACAAATATAACACACAATATATTAACTTAAAAACCAACATGATACAATTTGAATTTAAACAAAATCGCAAGTTTGGATCAGTAACATGAGAATCTGTCTGGCTTAAGGTAATAAATTATATTTAATAGCCTCTTGATGAATGAGAAGGCGAACATCAACATGTGCTTTTATGGATAGTTGGGAATTTGCTGAACAATGAACTGTAATACAGTATTACTGTGTGCTTAAATTTTTTTTTCCAAATAAGATATTTGTAAGATTTTATTTATTTTTTATTGTTTTAGGAATTTGCATGTAATGGAACAGTAATTGAACACCCTGAATACGGCGAAGTCCTACAGTTGCAAGGTGATCAAAGAGAAAACATTTGCCAGTGGCTAACGAAAGCGGGATTGGCAAAACCTGACCAGTTAAAGGTCCACGGGTTCTAATGTACCTTAGAGGTGATAATTTTAATCTATGTAAATGTCAGATGTCGCGCTTTTATTTAAATCACGGAATTTTTAACAGCATGTGCCCATTCAGGATTGCTAGCAGCTAGCAGTTAGCAATTTTGTACAATAATTTTATAATTGTGCCTTTCCATAAATACATTAGTTCTCAGATATTGTGTTTTTCATTTGATGTTGACTGTGTTTAGTTTTTAATGATTTTCAAGTAATAATAAATGTCTGGTCTAGTGATGCTGTATTTTTATTACTAATCCTTTATTATCCTGATTAAAGATAAAACATTTTTCTAGAAAACTGCTAATATTGTGTGTATACCAAAAAAATATAAAGACCATACACAATAACCAAATTATAGACGAATTTTCTCCACATCATACATAGGAAAAATATTTGGGAACATGGCAAACAAAATGTCTACTTCATATCTACTACATGAAATATTCTCAATTTTCATTTTTTGGAGTGAATTTTTGTTTGGTATAATCTGAGGGCATCAGCTTTGTCAACTCTGCCCATTGAAGTATTATACTCCTACAGTATTTAAGGTCGGTTCACTTCATTTTGTTGTCTTATAGTTTTATCCCGTTTTACTTTGTCTTGTTTCCCTATTCCTAAACAAAACAAAACATCTAAACTCCAACCTAATACAATTAAACTACTTCAAGAAAGACGAAACAGAACAGATCATACTTTGGACAGCTTCAAAAGTTTAAACAAAATCTTGAAGAAAGAAATTAGAAACGATCATAGAAACTCTACTAACAATCTAATAAAATATATAATACAAGATAACTGCAATATGAAAGTACTGAAAGCAAAAAACTCAAGCGGCATAACAAAATTCATAGAAATAAATGAGAAAAACGTCACTGTCCGAGTCAGAAAGGAAATAAGCGAGGCCATTGAAAAATTCTACACTAAATTATACTCAGTAAATATACAACCACAACAACGACGTACTGAACGAACACTAATTAACACCGGCTCAGAAGAAATACCGGACATAACCGACTATGAAATAAGTATGGCCCTAAATCAACTAAAAACGAATAAATGTCCAGAAGAGGATCAAATTACAGTTGAAATGTTGAAAATTGGTGGCAAAAAAATGAAACAGGTATTAAATATTTTATTTAATAAAGTAATTGATAATGGAAGGATTCCTCAAGAATGGTACAACTCCGAAGTCAGTTTACTATTTAATAAAGGAGACAAAGCGAACATCGAGAATTACTGACCAATATCCTTGCTATCACATCTGTATAAATTACTAACTAAAATCATAACCAACCGACTAACACATAAGCTCCATTTCTATCAAGCAAGCTGGATTCAGAAAACACTTTAGTACCATAGACCACTTGCACACCGTAAGGACACTGATAGAAAAATGCACTGAGTATAATGTTCCAATTCATATGGCGTTTGTCGATTTCCATAAAGCATTCGATTCCATTGAATTATGGGCAGTGCTTGAATCTCTAGAACATGCATGTATAGATTCAAGATACACTAACATATATGAAAATACCACCATGCAGATAAAGCTAGACGAATAGACAAAAACTAATCCCATAAGACTACAAAGAGGAGTAGGACAAGGAGACACCATCTCTCGCAAACTATTTACCCTTGCTCTAGAAGACATTTTTAAGAAACTAGAATGGAACAAGGGTATCAACATCGACAGTTGAGATTCGCAGATGACATAGTTTTAATAGCCGATAATATCCAAGAACTAAATGATATGTTACAACAATTTAATGCAGTTTCAGGAGCGGTAGGCTTAAAAATGAACTACAGTAAAACAAAAATACTGAGCCGACACCAGACAAATATAACAATATAAAATCATACCATAGAAAATGTTGAACATTATGTATATCTAGGTCATGACATCAAAATAGGAAAACCAAATCAAGATGTTGAAATTAAAAGAAACACACAACTGGCATGGGGTGCTTTAGGCAAGTTAGCATATATCTTGAAAAATACCTCCATTCCTGTAAACTAAAAGAAAAAGATGTAAACACATGCATACTACCAGCTTGTACCTACGGCTTGGAGACAGTAAGATTTACTAAAAAATCTGTTAAAAAATTAGAAAAAATGGAAAGAATCATGCTTGGAATATCACTAAGAGACAAGATTAGAAACATCGAGATAAGACGTAGAACGAAGATTAGGGATATTGTGGAAGAAATTACAAAAATGAAATCTCGCTGGACAGGTCACGTAGCCCGATATATTGACAGCAGGTGGACACGGAGAATTCTAGATCGGAGACCAAGGACGACAAGAAGAAGCATGGGAAGACCTCAAAAAGATGGGTAGATTACATAAGAGCAGTGGCAGGCCAACAGTGGATTAGATTGGCGCAAGATAGAAAAAGATGGAAGCAATTGGGGGAGACCTACATTCAGGAGTGGATAGAAAATGGTGGACAAAGAGAGAAAGACGTTGTTAGATTAGAAACTGGCTGTGTTAAAATTGTATACAATGTATTTAAATGGTGCTTAAACTGGTTACTGAAAATTCTAAAAATGAATAAAAATCAACTTTTTAAGTGTTTTTTTCTGCGCGCTTACTAATCTCACAGAAAAATATAATTGGGTGCTACAAATTAAAAACTTATTTGTCTTAATCAATGCTGAAGAAACCTGGGATATACTAAACTATTTTTCTCTAAATAAAACAAGCGTCACTCCTAGTAAAAATGAAACAAGAACTTTACGAAATCGATTGTACTTTAACGAAGAAATCCTTTACAGAACTTTTTAAATTTGTCAATCCGTATATCCCGAATAATGGCTCAGTTAGGTTAGTTACGCCTTTGCAATAACCACAAATTGAAACTTACTCTTAGAAGAGCCACTCATGGCGTCAGTCGCACTCTTTGTAATAGTAAAGAATTTGAGACCATTGAACGTCTTTTATTTAATTATCCAATTTATGCATCAATGAAACCTGAAAGTGAGGACGCTTTATCCAGTTTAAATAATTTTGTTCTTTCTCTCGACAATCCAACACCTGATTCCGCTAAAGCAATTTTTAATTTTATCTCGAATGTTCTTAAACTCGGAGCGTTTATAATCAATAAATGATATATATACTTTTTTCTGTATTGTAAATCCTGTTATTCTATAGTTCTTTATTTTTTTGGATTTACGATATTTGTACGTTTAATGTTTAGTTGTACTACTCTTGCCATGTAACTATGTTATTAAAAGCAATAAAGTAAAAAAACATTACTAGAGCAATTTACTTTCGTACTTATGCTGTACAGTAGAGTGGACCATTGACTGTCGAGTGTCTAGCGATAATAAAAAACAGCAAATTGGTGAAATATGCTTTAGTACTGCGAGAAGTAGTCTCACGTCTCGGTGAAGATCGTTCATTGGTAGGTACCGGAAGGCTAACTAGAGGAATATACATACAGTACATTCAACCAACTTATATTTCTAAACGAATGACGGAATTCGTAGAAAACTTTTCGTTGTAGTAAAAAGCACGAAAGGTTTTCTGCGAATTCCATTAATTGTTTAGAGGTGCAAGTTGGTTGAATGTACTGTAGGAATATTTTGTGTTATGTTCTGATTTTGATTTCTTATTGTTTCTGTTTACATTTTTCTATGGTTTATGCTGAAAAGAAAATATTTATATTATTAAATATTTTTACAAGAGTTTTACCGTTATATTTTTACTAAATCTAGTTAATTACTACAATTCAAGTATTAATGTATTTTGTTTAGCATCGTATATCCAAAAGCATTTTTTTCTTACTAAATCCAACAATTATTTACTATCTTTAATAAGAATTAACCACAATTTGGCAAATGAAAATGAACACTGACAAGTAGAGTAAACAAACTTACTGACTATGGAGCACGGAATCCAAGATCCGGCAGGGAAGGAATAACTGTAGATCATAGGGTCTCCCAGGCCGTAAACCAGAGAAATTCTTGTGCACTTAAGACATTGAAAAATATAGTAACCTGGAATGTCAGAAGTCTATTCGCGATAGCCAATTCCGACAGGGGGCGCTGAAGATTTTAAAGATGGATAATAACTTTGGGAAAACAAATCATTTTGTCATTTGATCTCTAAGGTATAAAAACGTTTAATATAAATCATTTACACGTGTGTTTTGCCAAAATAAAAGTTGGAGTACGTTCTTCAAAGTTTATTTGTTTGTGATTCGAGGTTATACATAAGGTAATTGACTCCCAAACCTGAATAAAAATAAAATTAAATGTTTGTTTTTTTTTACAGTACTTATGTCTGAAACACGGGAAGTAAAATTTACATTATCTTAATTATTTATATGGTTGCAAGATCAGCAGACAGAGATCTTTAGTTGAGGGTGAGGCAGTTTTTGGAGCTGGCCACGTTATATTTTGTAAATTACGCCTTACGTTTTCTACTAATAACTTCATGATATTGTTGGGGCAATTTAGCTAATGGAACAGCATTTTTCTTTTCATTTTTCTTCAGTCTTCTTAATTTAGTTCCAGGTGTTACTATAAAGTAAATTAAGTATAAATATATTAAAATATAAATAATATTTTAATCAACACTGGGAAAGTAATCGTTCTCAGTAAAATGTAAACTGCACACACAAAATGCATTGCCAAACTTTTCTCATATTCTCCTCCAGCGGAAACTTATGTATGGATTTTTTTGTGAATTATAATAGGATGAACATTGAGGAACACTGCAATTGTTTTTTGAAGTCGAAGTCATTGCTAATTACAATATAAAAGAGTCGCTAATATTTATACAAAATAATGACATTTTCCCGAAGTCGATGCTTTTGAAATCTACCACCAGGCGTCGCCCACTTTGCGGTTCCTCGCCAATACGCAAGTGGTACAAGTGGAAAATTAGCGAACGTACCGCTTGAACTGGAAAACCTCCAAATTGATGTTTTAGGTATAAGTGACGTACAGTGGCCAGGTTCAGGCAAACAAATTACAAATAATGGAACCATATATTATTCAGGTAACAACGAGGTCAATCATCGATATGGTGTTGCTATCTTAGTTACAAAAAAGGTCAATTACTCTGTGAGAAGTTTTACTCCTTATTCTGATAGGATCTTATCAATACAACTTCAGTCTAAAAAAAGGTATAGTAAATTTTATTCAAGTTTATGCTCCTACGGCAGATAAAGATGACGACGATATCAAACTATTTTACCATGATTTGAAACGTTTTAAAATAAATGAAG